GTGTAAAAAACTTTAACCTAGCAGTGTATGGATGATTAACTCTCATACTTTTGTCTTAAATAAAATAAAACTTCCAATAAATGAAATAAGTATAGAAAAAGAAGCAGAACACAAACACGTTTGTTTTTTACCAAAAAAAAAATACATTTATATTAAAATTATTATAATACAGAATTAAAAAATCACCATAATAATTTACATTTAATGTAATTTCAACTAAATTATTTGTCCCGAGAAATTCAAGTATATATTTTCCAATTTTCTTTCATTAAAAAAAAGAGTTCATTCTTACTTATTCACTCTAAATTTTTATGTTTACTTTCGTTAATAATAATCATTCTTTTTTATTATGTTTTATTTATATTTTCATATTAATATTAAATATATTGTAATACAGAATTAAAAACAATACTATAATAATTCACATTTTAATATGATTTCATGTAAATTATTTATCCCCCGTGAATTTTCGATGAATGTTTTTCCATTTACTCATAAAAAAAATTATTTTAATATGTGAGTTTAAAGAGTAATTTAACTACAAACTGATTCCAAATCAACATTCTAAAGAAGTATTAGTGTCTCTCCTATGTAATTCTTAAAAGTAATAAAATTATATAACTAATTTTGAAAGTATTATAAAATATGTTATATATTTCTTAAAGTATTTAAAAATCTTTCAAATTAGTTCCTCAAAGTAAAATAAAAGACTAAATTAATAAACTTTTAATATTTTATAAATTATTTATACAATTTCATTACTTTAAGGACTAGAAAAAATTAATATTTAATGGATTAAATCTATGATTTTTTTTCTATGATAATTCATAGTAATTTATACATTTTTTTCTACCTTCCTTCTCTTTATTTAAAATATTTCTTTTTTACTTATGGTGTGTTTGTTAAAAAATAAATAGCAAAGTAATAATGGAGAGAGGGAAAAAATAGATGCGAAAAAATAATTTTGTTAGTTTGTAATAGAAAAATTGTGTTAGGTAAAAAATAAAAATATGTGAGTCCCACATCTTTTTATTTCCACACTGATATGGATGCAAATGTCGTGAGAGCCATGCTGATAGTATTTATCGACAATTTTTAAAATTATAAAAAAAAATATTAATTATTTTTCTTTTTTGTAATTTTGATGGTCATAAATTACTAAAAGAAAATTTAAAAAATTTAAAACAAATATTAAAGGTTTAAAACCGCAAAAAGAATGTTATTCGAATAAATAAAAATGTTAGTACATTTTAATGTTTATCAATTCAATTTTTATTCAATTACGAAATTTTTATTCCATAAAAATCCATTATAATTCTTACATTTAATGACAAACAATTAACAATGAAAAAGTAAATAATAAATTAGATTTGTATACATACAGGTACGTAAATATTTATTATATAATATGCATATAAAGGCAAAGAGATTATATAAATATATGCAATCTATATTCAGTAATCTAGCAAAAGAAAACTATATAATCTAGATTATTGGTCAAACAATTCTTATATATAGTATTGTACACAGTAATAACACAAAAAAGACATCATCCCACCATTCATTATATGGTCTTCAAAACAGCATCTCATCCCTATTCTATTGTTATATCAAGTATGATTATCATTGTCCAACCACATGGAAACACACAAGGGTAAGTTAGAGTTAAAAAAAATAACACACACATATATACATATATATATATATATATATCAATATGAACAACTCAATCTACTATAGCACAATATTAACCAAAACATCACTACATCAATAATTCAAAATTTTCATCACAACAACATAATAATTACATACATAATCATAATTTTAACTAAGAGATTCCTACAATACTGGATGAATGATTTAAGTGACTTAATCTTACCGAACCAACAACGCAAAGTGATTTTTTGGGCTTGCTAAATCAATAGCAAATTAAATATTAATCGACAACAAAACAATTTGGTTTCTTGGATGTCATCACATAATCAAAAGTATAATACTATTATTAAAGTAAAATAGTTTGGGTATGGACCTATCACGACATTAGCTAACTTGACTAAGTTTCTTATGTGATTAACCCATTGACTACCATCCAAATATTGTGCCATTCTGATACTCGGTTAGGAATTAAGTTCTTAACTTCCTATTTCACTCAATTGGTCACTTTATACATGTGTCCTTCAACATTGCTTGCGATACCAACTAAGGTCCTATAGGGAGTCTCACTTACCCTCTTCAAGGTCAAGTTCTTAATAAGGGTTTTCAAACAAATTGAGCTCTCAAAGCATTACAACATAATATCCTCACAATAAGATATGCAACTTTTAAAACAACTTCTCTCCTAGTCCCAAGTTGATCAACACAATTTTTGATACCATGCCTGCATGCCTAAAACACTCTCAGCATTCATCAACTTAGAAACATAACAACATCATGCTTAAAGCATATTCAACACAACTACACTACCAATACAACATATAACTCAATTCTCAACCAATAATCATCTCTAATTATCATCATGTATCAACATATATGTAAAAACCAACATTAAGCAACTTTAAACACACAATAGAGTAATCTACTCTACTTATATTAAAAAATTCATCATCTAAAGAAGTTTTCATTTAGCAATCAATGCTTGATGTTGTATACCCAGTGCTCGACACCATCCAAGCAAGGAACTCCTTATCTCACCCACGTCCAACGCTACACGACTCGTGCCTAGCATGGATAAGATAGAGGCCTTTGGAACCTCACACCTGACATGGCAAAGTTTCATGTCCAACCTCATTTCAGAGAGTTTTTGCCTAACTCATGTCCAGTGTCATCATACTAGCGCTCAACCTTATCTAGGTAGAGAGTTTTAGCTTGGCCACACTGAGCACCACCCGGGGCTCAACACCACCAAGTTAATGACCTCCAAATGCTCTCTTGCCCGACACCATTCTTAACACACTTGGCACCATTCGACCTGAGACAAGTCTCTCTTCTCACACCTGACATCACCAATCCTACGTCTAGTGTGGCAAGATAGAGAGCCTCATGTTGAAACCATGTATGACACAACGTAAGTTATGCACTTATGCAAATCACAAATTTTGCTTAATCCACCTAAAACTCAGCCAAAATCACATGTGTAAGATAAGATATTGTTCTTACTCAACACAAGCAACTCAAGAATCTAACTTTCCTTACCTCGAAAGTGAAGTGAAATTAAATAAGAGGGAGGAGAAGAAAAGAACTCTGAACAATCCACAACACAACTTCAAACAAATTAACAACTTGATTCAAGGTTCCTAATGACCTAAATTACAAACAAAACAACTTAGATGAGATTTTGAGAAGAAAATTACCTCATTAGAGAAGATTTTGCAAAGAAGGAGACTCATGGACTAAAGCACTTATCTCTAAAAACTTATTCTCTCTAGATTTTTGATGAACAAAACTTATGAAACTTAATTAAAAATAAAAACGTTATATACCTTCTTTCACGGGGTTAAACTAGACCTCTGTCAAAAGAGACTCTCAATACTACCTGAACTTAAAAGAAATCTTCAAATTCTTGGTCTTTCAACACAAATCAATCTACACAACAACATATGATTAATTAAAATCAACAACACTCTAAGACCCATAATATTACATATTCAAATAAGAAACTTCTATTCAAATACAATTTTTTTTTATTTGATTGTAAAACTTTTTATATTATATTTGAATATGTTTATATACTTTAAAGTTATTTAATTAATTTAAAATTATTATTTTCATTGGTTTTTAATCTAAATAATTACTTTAGATATCTACTCACTTTAATTGATTATCTATTTTATTTAAAAAGATTATTTATTTAGTTATATTATTTTTATTTAATTGATTAAAATAAAAAATTAATAAAAACTGTTTTCTTTAAAAATATTTATTTTCTTTTTTTTTTTTTCTTTTTTACTCTATTTTATTTATTTTTATTCATTTATTTGTATCTTTTATTTTTAATATATACTTTATTTCTTACATTTTTTTTTCTTTTTACCTATTTTAACTAACTTACTTCTCTCTTCCCTCTATTTTTTACCTATTTCTTTTCTCTTTACCAAACACATCATTAAGTAAGAGGAAACATGTATTAAAGAATGTATTACAATTAGAGATGTAAATAGGACAGAACCAGACATGTATAGATAGTAGTCTTTCGCTACCCGTCTTGTTGGATAAATATCCATCTTATACTTGTTCTCATATTTGTGTGGATATCCATTAAATAGATATTCATATATTTTTTTGGATATGTGTAGATGTTCAGAGATATCTGTGTATATATATATATATATATTTTTTTTTATATTTTAATAATATTTTCAATTTATTATAATAATTTCTTTTAAAAATAATAGTCTCAAGATTAAAATTTAAATTATTCAAATATATTACAGAAGATATTGATGGTAAGACT